AAAAAAAAATAATGGAAGAGAGAAAGACCAAAGAAGGCATAAAGTTATTATAAATAATGCCAAAAAGCACAAGCTAAAGCTACCCCTCTCTCTAGCAAATGATACAAAAAAGTCTTTTTCTCCAAATTAATTTAATTCTCCTTAGCCAAAGCCTATAAACCTAACGAGAAATGCTCACCTACCCACGGTAGGCACATGTCAATATGTCCACCGCGTAGGTAGCATCCACTCACTGGTGATATATTTTTCTAAACATATTAACATCATCAATGAGTGGATGTCACCTACGTGGTAGACATATTAACATGTGTCCACCGTGAGTAGAGAGCATTTCTATATAACTATAATAAGAACTATACACATACACATACATCTATTATACACATATATATATAGAGTATATATTTTCAGTCTTAACACAAAATCTCCTTAAAAGACATCACTTTTTTTCTTTGTTTTTTTGACATTAAATTTTTCCTTAACCTCATCATGTCTGGTGAAGAGGACCACAAGAATTCTTACCCTTACTTTTCCAGCTTCCATAACCAAGATCATCAGAGCATGCACCATCTGTCTGATCAAGGGTTTGCTTTCCCTATAATCACAGATCACAGCAATAGCTATAGTACCTTTATGTACAACCAGCCACAGCAGCAGCAGCAGCAAAACCCTAACACCCTTGAATTTGATGATCATCATCATCATAACCCTACTAATCCTTCTCATGACAATTCCCAAATGAGCTTCTCAAACTGCCTCCAATTAGGGGCAGCTGACTATAATACCCTCTCAAATGCCTTTGACCTTTCTTGTTCTTCATCTGATCAACAACATCAGTTTTTGATGTCGAACAACAACAACAACAACAACAACAACAATAATGATAACGGTAACAAAAACATTAGTATGTCTGATGATTTTGTGTACAATAAGGAGATAGCTGCAGCCGGGAGCGAAAATCCGCAGACTCCAAATTCGTCGGGATCGGTTTCTTCACACGAGGGAGGGGTCGAGGAGGACTCGTCAAAGGGAAACAAGAATCCGCAGGAGAAAACCGGCGAGGAAGAAGGGCAAGATGGGAAATCTAAGAATGTGTAGGTTCAATTTTTTTTTTTTTCACAATTCATGCTTTTTTTGTCCTTTTTCTCTCTGGGCTTTTACATTTTGGCATTTGGGAAATTTTAACAGTTGAAACTAAGCATAAAATACAGTTGTGTTTATTGAAATCATGGTGGATCAAGATATGATAATCATGGTGTCCGATTTTTTTCGGTTCTTGGATCGGCTAATAAGAACACCGATGATTTTCATTTTTTTTTTCTCTTTTTCTTTTTCTTGG